TACACGTGATGGACTAAATGCTTCTAAAAAATATTTCAGAGATTGTCGATGGAGCCAACGTTTTGACAAGTGAACTTCTCCTTACTTCCGTCATTCGTTGTCCCTGCGCCTCGCTCTCTCCTTCCTCTTTCTCCCTCTCTTTACCTTTTAATCTTATCCTTTTAATCCATCCTTTACCCCCACCCCTCGTGAGCTACTGTTGAGGTGTCCTCCCCCTGAGAGACAGTTACGGGGCTCACTTTTCTCTTCTTTTCATTTAAAATCACTTCCGCTCCCCCCTCGTCTGGTGCCTGCACACACTACCAACAATGTTGGGCCCAATATATGTTGATTCGTCATCATCATTCCGGGGCTTGGTCGCCCGCGCGTGTGCATTTATCTCGTAATGGGCGGTTTGTGCGCCTTGTACTTTCACCGGAAAGTTTGCGTTGAAGTGACGGCGCACGATGGGTTTGTACGTCTTGTGCTTTCGCCGGAAAGTTTGCCATTCAAGTTAGGGTGCACGGAGGTCACTTTTCTCGCTGTAGCTGCCGCGTTTGCGAAAGGAGTGTGCTGCCCAAACACAAAGAAGTAACATCTGTGACAGCGTTAGTTCGTGTTCGTTTCGTGCGTCCTTCTTTCTGTTTGAGCAGCGCGCTAGTGTCGAAATGTGTACGTTGTTCGCGCTAGTACTGTGTGTGTTCTTTTAGTGAGTCATTTGTGCGTTCGCAGCGAGCTGCACGTTTCAAGTTGCGTGCCTTTCTTCGCGTGACATTCCAACTTGTTGCTATCGCATTCATTGTGTCGCCCCTGCATGAAGCTGTTAGTCGAGACTTGTCGGTCGGTAGGCGTAATGCTGTTCATGTGGCCTCGCAGTGTGGCGAGAAAGGCTCGACAGGAAGGGGCAAGCCTGCTTCTCGTGCCGTGAGAGGTGATTAATTTTAGGCCCACTCTTATTTTTGATGTTTATTAATGACCTACTTAGCTTTCTTACTAGGACCAAGTGCATGCTCAACGTTGACGACACAACCATCTTTGCATCATCTAAATCTGTTTCTACGCTCCACAGACTGACCTCAACACAGATTTACATTACATAACTCTGTGGTGCCAGTATAATCAGCTGCAGATCAATGCTACTAAAACCATATTTATGGTGTTTCATTCTCCGGGAATTTCACTTGATATACCACCTACTCTTCACATCGATAATGACGTCATAAACATTTCTACTAAAGCACGGTTTCTTGGCGTCATCATAGATACGGAACTAAAATTTCATAAACATGCCGCTTAACTCGTTAAAACGATTGCATTTGGAATCAATGTTATCAAGACACGCACGTATTTTCCGCCTCACGTCATACGTTCTTTGTATTTTGCCTACATTCGCAGTCATATTTCGTGTTGTATATCATCTTGGGCCAACACAATTACTTCGCGCACATTGAGCGATTGCTGCGACTGCAGAATCAAGTGGTTAGACATGTGATGACTTTTAGCCCATTTTATTCGTCCTGTAGCTCATTGTTTCCAAAGCTTAACATACTATCATTAAGGCAATTATTTTGCCACAGACTGTCCGTAGTAGCCTATAGGCTCATCACGCATGATAGTGTCAGTGCATGCATTGATCATCATCATTTAACTAATAGCAATATTACCTGCTTTTCGCAGAGCAATAATCTTCTTTTACCAGCCGTAAGAACAAACTACGGCTATTTCACAACCTTGTTTACAAGCATAGCAATTTGAAATTTATTGCCCTTCGAAATAAAACAATCGCACAACATTCATATTTTCAACTTGCGTAGCAAAAAACATTTTCTTAGGGAATCTATAGACTCATCTGATTTGTGTAATTAACTGTTGATAGCTTTCAACAGTTCACTGTTAGCTTTTTATTAACACTTACCTTTGTACAATTTGCGCAACTGATGTAAAACATTGCATTTGTCATGTACACTTCTTTAATCTTGCTTTTTATCAGTAGTATTTATATCATGTTATGTAATAACTGTATTGTTGCTGTTAATTAAGCTCGTTAGTCATTGCTCACAAATTCGCACCTTTTGCTGTATTTTTTTCTGTAATTACCCCATTCATGTCGCCATAGGAGGTCCACCTGTCAGTTTCTCTGGAACTTTGGGACCTCCTTCTGTACTATTCCAACCATGTAACCGAATCTGAAATATGTAATAAACTTGACTTGGGGGGTGGCGTGATTCCGCATCTCGGGTAACTTACTAATGTTCTATAGAATTTCTGCAGATAGGTTGCAAGATTTTTAAGGGTTGGCTGCAGATACATTAGTTATGGCACTAATTAAGTAAACAAATGATGTTTTGATCAATTCATTGAATCGCCCTGTATATGCACATGACGGAAATGTTTTGGGTGAGTAACGTGACAGAATGGCGGGGGTCTTTTGTTTTGCTTATGTTTTGCGCAGTAGACATGTGCAGTGATTCAAATAAGAGACCAGATACGTTGTTTTGTTGTTTTTTTTTCTCTCTCTCTCTTTGGCGATGATCATGAGATGCACTTGATATGACAGCCTGTTTCTTCTCGATCTTCAAAATATTTTACACGTGCACGTTCAAACTTGTAACCTTAAAACTTCTCACGGCTTGCAAGTCATCAATGAAGGCTTTCGTGTACATGGCATTCGCGTGTCCGTGTGATGCAGCAGCTTACATTGTAGTTCGCAAGGTCGAGGGCTTGACAGATTCTAAGCATTCGCGTCCTCGCAGAGAGCATTCTGCCGTGGTTTGGTTGGCCCGAGCTTATATATCATATATTGTGTGTGTAGTTTCTTTTAGTGAATATGTTCGCACGATCTAAATTATGATTTTTTTGTTTCAAACTGCACTGAACTTCAGTGAATGCTCAATCGATTTATATTTTAACCCCTTTTTGTTTAGCGGTTCCATTGCCACTCAGCTTTGTGGTGCCGTCTGCGCAGGATACCTGACATGTCACCATCTTCCACTCAAGACATTTACCGCATTCGCGGAGAAAACAAACGTTCCAGTGATGGCAGCACGAGTCAGATCCAGAGAGCCGTTCCAAAATTTCAGAAAGCTCCCACCTCCCCACTCCGCCTAAGTTTTTTTTTTTTTTAATTGTTTGCCCCAGGAGGAAGACCTATCAAGTTTTCCCCCTTAGCTGCATCCACACTTCAGCCAGTTTCACGCTGTGAAAACTGTAAAAACTGGGAGAAGAGTGGAGGACTGGCCTGTCTCTGTCGACGCTAATCTTGTGTCTGTCTGAGTCGAAGCTGCGTGTTCAATGCCTGCATGCCTTCGTTGGCGATGGTGCTTCGCTGGCAGCATACATACAGTGTGGGGCAAAAAGAAAAGAAAAAGTAATTGAAAGTACCCCGGCCCGTTCCACGGGTATTACGGGCTAAACAAAGCCAATAAAAAGTAAATAAATAAGACAGAACCCAAAAGGTAATTTTGATAATAAAGAGGTCTAAAAGAAGGGGAAAAGAAAAAAAGAGGAAAGAAAAGCAAATACGATAAATGAAAAATGAATTACGGATGTGTTCGGTTACGAATGTGCTCTTGGGTGACTTGATCATCATCTCGATTTCGTGGAGTTGTTCAGGGAGGTTGCGGAATCCAATTATGGGCGGTGATGTCCCGCTAGGGAAGATCCCGGTGATGTCCTGCGTTTTCTTCTTTGTCGATTGACGATTTCGAAGGCGTTCACGGGCGAGTGCACGCTTTCGCTCCAAACGTGCAACTCGCTCGGCGCTCACGGCAGATGGGGTAACCTTCATTTCTGAAGTAGCGGTGTTATCTCTTGACCTGTTTTGGTATTGACTTGACCTGCGGCGCCCCCTTTTTGACCTATTTCGGTTATTTCAGCGTGTCGTCAAGCGACAGCCCGCACCCCTGAAGTGATCCGTACTCGAGATCCTGTATTCGCCCCGGTTAGGCACAGCACAGCCACCGCTACCCGGTCGCTCCGGCCTCCGTCCACTCCTATAGTGTCAGTGGTGAACCTGTACGTTAGGCTTCTTCCACACAATTAGTTTGTCGTATCGGCTTTCCGTAATGCACCAAGAAATTCTGCAAGATCGTGCTGTCTTGCCGGGGCCACTGATTACGCGGGCCTATTTTGATGTTGCAGTTCTTATCGGCAGTACCAACTATATTATTTTTTTGCAGTATGTGCACCACCGATTTGGCAATGTCCTGAAGGTCAATCTTTGCCTCGCCGCGGTGGTCTATTGGCTAAGGTACTCGGCTGCTGACCCGCAAGTCGCGGGATCGAATCCCGGCTGCGGCGTCTGCATTTCCGATGGAGGCGGAAATGTTGTAGGCCCGTGTGCACAGATTTGGGTGCACGTCAAAGAACCCCAAGTGGTCGAAAGCCCTCCACTATGGCGTCTCTCATAATCATATGGTGGTTTTGGGACGTTAAACTCCGCATATCAACCAAGCAAGGTCAATCTTTCATTGGATCTCTTTTAAAGGCCATGAGCACGCTAATGTCGCCTAAACAATTGGCAATTGTTGTTCCCCTCGCGAAGTTACTTCCTGCCAAAAGTTAGAAACCTGTACCACCGTTCTAGTGAATTTGTTTCGTCCTTTTTTTCTTTCTGTATCGGGGGCTTCACAAAGCCGGCAACAGAAGTTACCACCGTGCGCGGCCTGGAGTAGGCCAGTGGTGACCGTTCCACAACCGCGTGGCTGCAGCCAGCTGGCTTATCTACGATTTACGATATGAGGGCATTCATAAAGTTGGCAGTCCTTACGACCTGGAGATTCCGGGCGACGCTCGGTTTGCGCTCAACGCTCGCCGTGCGCTCGCAAGCACTCGCGCCGCTCGCCGGAAAAAAAAAAAAAAAACTGCTGATCTTGGCGCGCGTTTGCGTTTCGATTGTGTTCGGCTCCGAGTCGTCCCCCAAATCTGTGCGCGATGAATACTAGAACGGCCCCAGATAAGGAACGGCCGCGCAAGATATGCGGGTCCTCGACTGACTGACGGACGTTCCAGCCGGGCAAGAATAAAGCAGCGTGCGCGTGACGATATCGCCCCGGCGGCCGGTGACAAACAATCGGCGTACATAGCCGGCTTCAGTCCACACGCCAACGCACCCCGTTATGGAAAAGGTGAGCCTCGCTAATCCTCATTCGATCAGTGTGCACCACCGGGTGACGCCTGGAACAGACGCGTGTCTCACGCATTTTTGCTGGGCATGTATTCGTCAAAGCGGGCCGGCCGAGCAACGCCGATGCGCACCAGCACCCTCCCCTCCCCCCCCCCCCCCCTTTCTTTTTTCCTTTTGTCAAAGCGACTTTGAACGCGATTGATTGATTGATATGTGGGGTTTAACGTCCCAAAACCACCATATAATTATGAGAGACGCCGTAGTGGAGGGCTCCGGAAATTTAGACCAGACCACCTGGGGTTCTTTAACGTGCACCCAAATCTGAGCACACGGGCCTACAACATTTCCGCTTCCATCGGAAATGCAGCCGCCGCAGCCGTGATTTGATCCCGCGACCTGCGAGTCAGCAGCCGAGTACCTTAGCCACTAGACCACCGCGGCGGGGCGACTTTGAACGCGTGTGCGTGGGGACGGTATACGACAGGTTTTTTTTTTTTTTTTTTTTTTTTAACGGAACAACGTTTCTTCGCGCCAGCTTAACAGATCGAAATCAATGACTTCCGATATTCAGCTTTGTAAAATGCCAGCTTGTGTGCCTTTATTTAGCTGCGCTTTAAGGAATCCCTATAGGTCAAAATTTGCTCGGCTCTAATCGTATCCTGGTTTTTTGGGTCGCTAATTCCCCAACAACTATTATCTTTAGTGAGCATTGTTTTGGTGGGACCAAAGCTGGACGAGCTCGGCGTACCCAGTCTGAACGAGGCAGTCCAGTGCTGGCACTTCTATACGCAACATCGGAAGTTTTCGCAGGAGTTGCGCCAACGGTCACGTTGAGATTCCTGCATGTCTTTCGTATATGGAACTGCACGTAGTGATTTTCGTAGTCTCACCCACCCCTACCGTGCGCGCAAGGGACACGTCATTGTTGCAATATGAAACAATAAGCAACAAAAGTTGTTTTTGTTTTTTGTTTTGTTTTTTGTACGACCAGCGTGGTGTAGGGCACGTGACTGAAGTTGCGGTAATCAACCACGGATTCCTGGACAAGGAAGACTGCCTGACTCGAGCTAGCACAGAATATCTGTGCCACAGTTGTTTCATATATGAAAGTGTATCTTTCTCTTTTTTTTTACAATCTTAGTATTCATGGTTTCGGTGTAATTTTCGATCGCTAATCGCAGATTGAGCAATGAGTGCGCGAAAACCAGTTCGCGCGAACCGTAAGTTACTCACATATGGGATTCAGTTGCCTCCGCCGCCGGTCATGTTTTCGGTACGTTCATGTCTATCGAAAAAAAAAATACGATGAGCGTCGCAGTTCCTCCTGGCTCTGGCCGCGGAATCTGAGAACAAAAATATATCTAGTCTGACCGCCGATAGTCTATCTTTAACACGCGCTGTTGACTCGTTTATCTCGGCTCCTGCCGGAAAAGCCTGTCGCAACTAGAGATGCAAAATTTCCGAAAATTTTGAGCAATCGGAGAACAAAAAAAAAGACCTGTTTTTTTTTTCACGTTGTTTTCCGAATTTTCGGAAAAAATCATGCAAAGAAACAATTTTCTTCCGCATAAGGCAACAGTTTATTACAAAGCGTCAAAAACATGCAATAACTTTGATTATGTAAATAACAGAAATAAAATGCTTTCTCTCTTCACAAATGAATATGGCATTTAACTGATCGAAGGCAGGCCAGCAGCATCGCTGTGGACTAACTTAGTTCTCTGTGAATGGTTGTGGCTTCCTAGAATCGTTACGGCAGTTAGAATAAAGAACCCAGAAATGTCTATTTCATCGTGACTTCGACTATGGAAACATTGATCAATATGGTAAAAAGATGAAGTTCAAACTCCTATTCAGAGTCGGTGTCGCTGGCTTCATCTGCATAGCTTTCTTCATCATGTTAAGATGTCGCATTATAAAAAGCCGAGATGCTGTTGGAGTGCTTACAGTCTGCGAGTCCCCGTTTCCCGCCAATGGTCTCCCCCGACCATGAAGTGCATCCCCGCGTCGGAAATTGGGTCAACTTTTGTAGGATCTGCTTGCGCATGGCTTTATAACGCTCGGTGTTGTCTAAGCATTATTTCTTTACGTTTTACCCCACGGAAATCTTGGCCAAATTTTCCAACTGAGCTGAAAAAAAAAAAACTGGAAAAAAACTATTCTTTTTTTTTAATTTTCCCGCTTTTTTCCGCTCTTCGCATCTCTAGTCGCGACTCCGAGAATGCAACCTTGAGTAGTCTTCGCGGATGATAACAAATGTGTGCTAAAAGCATATGCCCTTATATCACCCTGCAAATCCCAGCGATGCCTTACTTAAAGTTATTCTGTTGTAGAGCACATGAACAATGTACATGCGCATGCTTAACTTTTAACGCGACAGCGTGTATACGCAATGAACGTGTGTAAAACATACTCAACTTATTCCTGAACTTGACTTTCACTGAAGGACGGCTGCTTATTCATATTTCTAGGTCAACTCCGTCGATTTTTTGACCATGTCAAGGTTATGGTGTTTCTATGTTCCTGGGACACTCTTGTCACGAGCCCAATAGCTGAAATGCTCAGGAAACTTGAAAATAATTTTAGTAAGCAGAAATGTGCAAAACCGAAACCCAACCGAGCGCCCTGTCTGCGTATGACGTACTATGTGGTGGAGCCGGAGGCCGTATACTGGTTCCGCCGGCGCGTAGTGTGAAAACTGTGAAAGCCAGTCCAGCGAAGCACCGGCCAAACACCACAGAGGGAGGAAGAAAGCATTCCCGTGCTATACCCGTGCCAAACACCGTAGCCGTCGCCTTGTGGAAACACAATGAACGCTGTAGCTGCCAAAGTAACGATGCCATCGGCTGCGTCACTTCCGTTGACATGCCAAACATGACTCCACACAGACAGTGTTGCCAATAATTTTGGCAAGTGAGGTGAGCTTTTTGAGGCGATCTTTAAAATTCATTTGCAAACGATCAGTGCATCACTCAAACCCGTGATTTTGGCATAAAAGACTAAAATGTGCAAAGGAACATACCCAGCGAATTTCATTGAGATTCGTTGACCTCGAAAAATCGCCGGAGTTGGCCTTTAAAGAGCTCCTTTCACATAAATTCCAGTGTTGGCGTCGTCGGTTGTGAGCAAAAATCATGTTGTTGGGATCGAACCTAAGTCGTTTTAGTAGCAAGCGGCTGTTCTACCACCCGGCCATGTCTCTGCTTGTGAAAACAGTGAAAGGAACTTTCTCTGCGTGGAAATGCGATGAAAGTAGCTTTCATGCTTCGCAAACACACGCGTCCTGCATAAATGCTTCACAATGCAACATGAAATATTGCAGTAATAAAGCGTGGTACAAGTGTTCATTGCCAACGGACGCCAGAATGTGTGATTATTATAATGGCTCCGCGGTTGAAAGCCAGTACTCCACTACAGAAGGCACACACGCTAGCGTACCTATTTAAGGCCACGTATAGTGGGTGCATAGCAAATTCGAAAAGGTTTCATGCACCAACTGTTCGAAATACGCACTAGGAACATGATGTTGCTATCGCGTTCACTGTGACTCCTAAATGCTAAGCTTTAGGGTCTCCTAATTTTTGCAACAAGTGGGTTTTGCAACAAGTGGATGGATGGATGGAGTTGATGGATGGATGGATGGGATTGATTGAATTGGTGGATGGATGGAATTGGTGGATGTAATGGATGAAATTGATAGGATGGATGGAATTGATGGAATTGATTGACTGATTGATGAAATTGATGGATTTGATTGATTGATTTATTGATGGATAGATGAGATTGATTTATTGATGGATAGATGGGATTGATTGATTGATGGATAGATGGGATTGATTGATTGATGGGTGGGATCGATTGATTGATGTATGAATGGGATCGATTGATGGATGGGTGGATGGGATTGATTGATGGATGGATGGGATTGATTGATGGATGGATGGGATTGATTGATGGATGGATAGATGGGATTGATTGATGGAGGGATGGATGGGATTGATTGATGGAGGGATGGATGGGATTGATTGATGGAGGGATGGATGGGATTGATTGATTGATTGATGGAGGGATGGATGGGATTGATTGATTGATTGATGGAGGGATGGATGGGATTGATTGATGGATGTATGGGATTGATGGATGGATGGGATTGATTGATGTATAGATGGGATTGATTGGCGTGCTGTGTTTGGCTCTTGCGACAGTCCGCTGTAGACGGCACCGCGGGTCGTCTGCCGTGGGCCCTGGTGGTGAGTCAAGCGTTGGCAACGCCGCCTTGTGTGTCATGTGGTTGAATGTTGTGTAATACTGTGTACGGTTGTTCTAGCGTGTGTAGAACAATTGATGATGCTGACGATACACGCCAAAGTGGCTCGCTCATCTCTCCCGTGCCGCCACCCAGGCTTTCCGCCAGGCGTTACCGCTGGCGCTACCGTTCTAACCATGATGGTGACGGTGGTGATAAGTGCCCGTGAGCACAGCGCCACCTACCGCTCGATAGTTGTGACCCCTGAATGCGACCTATGCGCAAAACATGTGTGCCACGAGGTGCAACTACATTACCGGGGTTGTTAGCACCCCCACAATTTCAGTTATTCTTTTATGACGCGTTCTAGCGCTCCTTGCTTATTGCACAAGTTCACTGCAGTGAGCGTGTAATTTTGTTATTGAATTCTTTTTTTTTTGTTGTTGTTGTTGTTGTTGAATTTCTTTTTTGCGTGAGTTCTCGTGTCCACAACTAAGCTTGTTCCTGCGCATAACCCCTACTTTGTTGTTGAAAACGACGTCTTGCTCGAAATTTTTTTTCATGCAGTCATAACCATATCGCGCAAGTGCCTATGTTTATTACTATCTATGGCGATAATGGTTAAGCACGTGTTGGGGTAACCCCGCCGTACTCGTGTATTTATAAGTGCGTTTTTGTCAGTTTCCTGTATTCCCTGACGAAGGCAAGCCCTCCTGCTGAAACCTTGGAAGAAACAAACATTTTTGCACATCCGTCCGTCATTTCTCATTTCTCAACGCATACAAAGCGCTGTATCAGCAGAAACACTTCTTGATATATATATATATTTATATATATATATATATGTTTGTGCGTGTGTGTGTGTGAGTGAGAGTGTGAATGAATGAATGAATGAATGAATGAATGAATGAATGAATGAATGAATGAATGAATGAATGAATGAATGAATGACGCTACGATGACTGGGAGACGTGGCCTGGCTCATACGCCATGTTTATACCAAAGAACTTCTTCCTTCTCGGCCTCTACTAGCCATCGCTGCATACCTTCTTACATCACTGGTTTACCCCTCCCCCCGAAAGTGTGCGCGTGTTATAAGCAACAAAAGACGAAGAATCCGAGTCTTTACGCGGAAAATGACCAAACACGAAGTAGTTCCTTGTGACAAGGCAGTTACGTAAAGTGGCACAACAAATTCACGGGATATGGTAGCAGTTGGGGTACATCAGCGAGAACTCAGGTGGGCGAGGCTGGCTGTTGCGTTCGGGAAAGCATGAGTATGCCCTGAGCGTAGAAACTGATGAAATAGCTACCATTATTGCGATGAATGGACGACGTTGGAAGGCCTTGCAGGTTCGGTAGATCGGTTTTTGTAGGTGTCGCTGTCTTTCCTGCGTGCGTGCTCGTTGTCGTAAACTGATGGGATGGTGCCTGAATCTTTTTGAGGTAGAATTGGTGACTTCTTGTCTTGCTCGGTGTTTTCTGAGGTTTCGGAGCTGTAATCTTAGGCGCAGTCTTGATCTCTTGTGCCAAATAGCGTTTATGACGTCGATCCCTTATGCGAAGATGCCTCACGTCTTGAATTTGTTTTAAGAGGCTTGCTCTGCGTTGTCGTCATTGTTGGTGTATTCGTTGGAGTGTCTGCTGCGATTCTTCGACTTGCTTTTGCTGGCGTTGCTCATGTGGCTGTGGAACGTATTGCTGGCGGAAGCCCTGCTTGAACATCACGCTGGTTTTCTCGACAACTTGATGTGGTGTCCGGTCAGCAGCTGGTAGTCTGTGGGCTATTGCCATGCAGTTCGGGCAATGAAGATAATGCTTCAGAGTTGGTAGAAAGTTCTTCAGAAGCTTCTTCTACCATGTTCACTACGAGAGGCTCTTGCGCATGGCAGCGTGCGCCGTTCGATGTGTCTGAGCGTTCGGCGTTGCTTCGACTGTCGAGTGTGTATGCACCGGACGGTGATCCATGAACCCGTGCGGAAGGAGCATGGCTCGACAGGGTATTTTCCCAGTGCGTCAGCTCGTCTATCGTGAACGCGGCGTCCTTATGAGGCAAACGGCGACCGTCAGGAGCTCTTGAAGAGCCGCGTGATGGAAGACCTGGTGGTGGACCACGCACGCGAGACGAAGAATGAAGTGCATCAGGTGGGTAAGCAACGTCTCGTGTCGTGTGCTGGAGCGACGAATTTGAAAATACCGGCTTTCGTGAAACCTGGTGGAAAGCTATGTTCCTTGAGAAATGAGCGTGGACTGTGATGGCTGAGTGTACATGGCTGTATGCAGGTGGTCGGTAATGAGGAAGTCCTTGTCGTAGCCGTTAAAACGGGCAATCATCTCTTCTCTGATCTTTTGCCATGATTCATCGTTTTCGAATATGTGTCTCAGGTAAAACCTAAATGCCTCACCGGAGATGTAGTCAGTGCCCCGCCGTGGTGGTCTAGTGGCTAAGGTACTCGGCTGCTGACCCGCAGGTCGCGGGTTCAAATCCCGGCTGCGGCGGCTGCATTTCCGATGGAGGCGGAAATGTTGTAGGCCCGTGTGCTCAGATTTGGGTGCACGTTAAAGAACCCCAGGTGGTCAAAATTTCCGGAGCCCTCCACTACGGCGTCTCTCATAATCATATAGTGGTTTTGGGACGTTAAACCCCACATATCAATCAATGAGATGTAGTCAGTGAAGTTGGCGATCGTTTCCCGTTCCGACCATGCCGCAGCGGTAGCGTGGAGCTCGAACAGGTCAAACCAGTCCTGTACAGGTCCATCGTTTCGTTTATCTGGTGAACTTGGGGATGGGAAGATCAGTCGATAATTCTGTCAAGATGCCGGTAACTGCATGCGCCTGAGATCACCTCTTCTGTGGTCGATATTAAGTTGAGGCGTAATGCTGGTGGCTTCGTGAATGATGTGAGGCTGACGAGTGGCGACCAGGTCTTCATCCTGTTGACTCGTGTGACACTACGATGACTGGGAGACGTGGTCTGGCTCATACTGATGCTGATGCTGATGACCTCAGATGGATGGCGCTGGCGCTTACCCACAGAGGAGAATGGGCCAAGAACCGGGCGGCAGGATACTTAAATAAAAATAAAATGAAATGAAAGCCAATCTGAAAAATTTGTTTAGACATAATACTACCAATAAACAAAAATGTTTGCTGAGCAAGCAGTCAAACCATCTCTTGTTTTTGACACACATCGCTACGAACTATGAACTAAGATCTGAAAAGGTTAGGGTTCACTAGCACGGTAATGTTTTAGTTTCGTTGATGTAATCAAACACAGTGGAGCATATATTCCTGTGGCAGTAACCAAATGAAGTGCCGTCAAGTGATAAAAGTACTGGTAGATTAACTTGTATTCCTAGCTTTTGTAGTGGGGCTACTAAAATTTTTTTTATGTGAGAGTAACGATGGTATAATAAAAAGAAATGTTCAATTGTTTCAATTTCGTTGGAAAAAATGCACAGCGGTGACGCCTTGCGCCTTGTTCATTCCAAAGCACGTCTTCCTTCTCGGCCTCTACTAGCCATCGCTGCATACCTTCTTACGTCATGTGTATATATATATATATATATATATATATATATATATATATATATATATATATAATATATATATATATATATATATATATATATATATATATATATATATATATATATAATAAACTCCTTAAGGTAGGCGCCGGATTTCGCCCAGTTTTCTTTCACTTTTCACTAAATTAAGGATGTCACCTTGCTTTGTGTATTCGCAACTCAGTATTGCCGCCACGACAAGGTGAATCAAAGAGAACATTTTTTTTACAGCGATACAGTTTTTATCTTTTAAATAAATGTGCTAGGCATTCCATCGATTGTAATACCATCGTATAAAATTTTTCATGCACGTTGGATTACCTTAGGGTGTTCTTATGACAAGTTTTGGAAAGCGTTCATTTATAAAATCTTAGGCGCTCTGTGCACTTTACTGCTTTTCTGCTGGAACACAAGCAATAGGCTCCTCTTATAACGTAAGTGGGCTGTCCCTATATAGTTTGGGATTATCAAGTAATGAGATCCAAATGTAGAATACATTAACAACTACCTATACTTCTGTGAGAGCGTTGTGGTTCCAACGACTGATTTCATTTTTACTTATTTAACGTTAGCTTCTCTCAAGAGCTTCGTCATTCATTGCTATGATCCATCATTACCTCTCGCTCATTTGTCCTTTGCACGAACTCCATTTCTCCATTGCCCGTGAAAACTCGACTTGCTGCGCAAGCAGAAAGAAATAAGGGCGGTGAGAAAGAGCGCAGCTGCTGAACTGTGCTTTTTTCTATTTCTATTTTTTATTCTGTTTGCGCAGCAAATTGAGTTTGCAAGTATGAACCAACTATTCTGCAATTAAGTATCGTTGTAACTGCGCTTATGCATGGAGACCTCCGTGTGTTTACTCGCTCCGCACACTTACAGAGCCCTCGCGGGAGCACCACTCGCTTAGAACTCTGAACTGAGCGCAGAGTCTTAAGACACAGTCTTAACTGAAAACACCGTCACCTATACTCGCGCTATTCTTCGCTCAATCGTTCCGTTCGTGTAACTTCAGAAAAGACGCATTATAAGCCTGAACTTCACAAGCTATTCCGAGAACAGCTATTCCGCGTGCGATTCCGAGAACACTCGTTAGAGCTGACTTCTCCGCGGTGTGTCTTCTAGTGCGGAGAAGCCGGCTTGAGCCGCTCTTGTTCTTACGAAGGCGGCTCGTGTTCGTGATAAGATGGCGTGCTACGCGGCGCCGGCTGGCAACAACAACAAAAAAAGTGTTTCACAAGCCGTCATGGCTGTAATCTTTATTTTTACTACTACAAATGGGTTTCCGTTTTTTTGAAAACCAAGCTGCAGCAACGAGGTCCGTGGCGCTTCTGGGTGGCGTACGCCTGCGCCTGGCTGCTGCTGACGCTGTGCTGCTGCTGCCCGGAGCCCGCGGGGGCGACGCTGTGCAACGAGCTGACCATGCTGAGCGAGGAATGCCAGTGCGAAGAGATCAACGGCAACCTCACGCTACGGTGGGCCAACATCCATGTCAGCCCGCTGCTCAGCGACCTGGAGAAAGTGGCCGACGCCAACATATCCCTGTACGAGATTCAGGTGCGTGAAGGACCTCGATGCGTGCCTCAGCTGCATGTGCTTCGGAAATGTTCTCTAGCCTCTTTTCAAGGCGTTTGTTTAAAAAAAATGGGGTAGCTGTGCCCCATTGAGCTAACCATTAGCTGTGCACTAATGGTTCGAAAGCTAAATAAAGGTGCTGGTGTCACCTTTCTCTCCTTTCTCCCCTCACCCTCTTTCTCACTTCCATTTCCCACCTCCTTGCTATACTTTACTGTAGACTATTTTTTGTTGGACATCTGGGCACTGCCATCTTCGGCTGTTAATCGGATGTTTTCTTGTTGTTGTTTTTTTTTTCAAATAGTGACGTGAATTATAAAGGGCATGAAACACCGTATGCAGCAACACAACCGTATTCGTGCGTATGCTCTCGAAGAGGCAAGAATATTGCTCCTACTCGGTCGAGACGTTCTCAGAGTCCACAAAGTTCGCCAGACCATTAACGGGCCACTTGACGCTCCTTATGCACAGAGGCTCGATCTCGGATGGGTCATTGTCGGAAACGTCTGCCTGGGTCGTACGCGAAAAACAGGCACCATAAATGTGTTAAAAACACACATTCTGGGCAACGGAAGACCATCCCTTTTCACCCCATGTACAAAACATTTCATGGTGATGGAAGCGCCGGTTCTCTACACTGCGGATAGGCATCAGGTCAAGAATGATCTGTCATCAATAACAGCATCAGATGGCACCTTGGCACCTAACCTGTTAGAGACAACGCGAGAAGAAAACGAGCGTTCCCTGTCTATAGAAGATAGAGCCTTCCTCAATATCATGGATAGGGAATTATACAAAGACAGGTCAAACAACTGGGTTGCCCCTCTACCTTTCCGCTCACCAAGAAGACGGCTTCCGAATAACCGAGAACAGGCTCTCTCTCGCCTGTACTCGCTGCGACGCACGTTGCGAAAAAACCCCGCGACAAAAGAGCGCTTCGTGCACTTCATGAAAGGATATAAAAGAAGGCGACGTCGTGCTCATCAGGGACAAAGAAGCAAATCGCAACGATTGGCCCATCGGCGTTGTCACCCAAAGCCTGCCCAGTGCGGACGGAATGGTGCGCAAGGTGGAGGTGAAGATTGCAAGGAATGGTGCAATAAGGAAACTCTGCCGACCGATATCGGAAGTGGTGCCCTTGTTTTCGCCATCAACAAACTGTGGCGTCTAACAAGCAGGCACCAGACGGGGAGTGTGCCGTCCCCTCTCAAAGAGAGCGGCCAGGAGCCGTGTTTGCCTTCCAAGTGCCGCCAAAGGAAGTCGGGGGAGACGCTTAATCCCTTAATAGGGGCTACTTCCACGTCTTGAAACCCCTTTTTCCTTTGTTATGGCCACTTCAAACGGGCGCCGCAAACGACCTTCAGAGCGTCATTTCTCATCTTCTTTGTCAGCTCACGGAGAGAGTGAAAACACCGGTCGTCGACGGAAGAAGAAATGCCAAGCGGCGGGCAGACTCACCCTACCTGCCCGAGCAACAGCACCGCTTTTTTACGGGGGACTTACTGAGTGCTTGTGAATGTTTGTTGAAATGTGACCCCAATTCCTGTTAATTAAAGTTACTTTTGTTTAAATGTTCACGAGTGTTCGACCGTTAACTGGCTGGATAGCGGACGCTTTGACCCGTCAAATGCGAGCTGCGAGACCAGCATACATCTACCGTAACACTGTCCGCTTAGTTGTTGAAGGTAAAAAACACAAACGTTAACAGCCCGACATGGCGACACTGAAACCCATTCGTAAAATAGCCTTTACTGTTTCTAAATGAGTATGTAAAATAGTCTATACTATATCTCCAGGTTTTTCCTTCTTTCACTTGTTCTTTTTTTTCTTGCTGTCCTTTTCTAGTTATTTCGTCCGTAGCAATAATGCAATTACATGATTATTATAAATGCATGTTCTTAAAGCGCGCTTAGATATCCGAATAATTATGACAATCGCATACGTGCCACGGGCACCCGGATTCGAATCCCGTGTGGTCAAGGAATTTGAATTTGCCTTTTTTTTTTGTTTCTGCTCCTCTTCCTCTCTTATTATCCTCATTTCCTTCCTCCGCCGTGTTGCTAGGCGACGAATGATGGCTACGCAGCGTGGCATGGTGGCGTCACCACCTGGCGAGGCCAGGTGCAGTTTCTGCGAACGCTAGACGGTGACTTCCCAAGCTTTGACAGCTCCGCTGTTGGAATACTGTTTCTGTATTTCGATGAATTTTCAAATACGAGCCTCCGAGCTTTTATTTTTCTGTAGGTTTAGCACTGTGCTGGCTGTCGGGTGTATTCCTTCTACCTTGTGTCTTTGTTTTCGTGCTGGTCATTTCAGAACTTTCAAACAATTCCTACTCGCCCAGCTGTCGATTTTTTGCCAGCTAATAAAGGTATAGGGCTGTTTTTTTTACTGCAGTTTTGTGAGTGAAGCTTAAAGTCAACTCTTTTGTTTCTCGAGAAACGGTTCTGTAAGCTGCACCTGTGTCAGTCGAGTGAAGGTGTGACTGTTCACACGATCGCACCGTCGTAAGCAAGTTCGCAAGTACATCACAGAGGCAACCGCATCTTTAGATCATATCACGCTCACTAGATATCGTGTCAACTCGCTAGGACAACATCGAAACGACGTCACATCACCCTTAAGCGAAAACGCATTGGGTGATGGGCATATATTTCTCCGAGGAGACACACACTTCTACTTAGTGCATCCGGTCATCACGTTATGTCTTGTGCAACATGAAACCAACCACGCCATCACTCCACGTCATGGTAGCAATTATAAAAAGTTAACGGTAAACTATCATGGAGAGATACATCGCATAACCTCAGTATATACATCAATCTATTAACGCAATGTGTTGAAAACTAAGTGCATCACAAGTCATCTGGTTTCCTTTTTTACCGTAAGATACAGCCAACTCCTATATGTGTCTTTTATGCTGTCATCTAAACACAACTGGAAGGCGGACATTACCTTTTTTTTCTTTTCAGTATATCGTATAGATTCAAGATGGCAGTGTGCTAGCTGGGTCAGTTGGCGCAACATATTGTAAAAATATGAGCGGAAAAACAGCAGGAACGGAAAGGAAATGACGGGTCAGCGAGTGTTTGTCCCTTTCCGTTTTTGCTGTTTTCCCGCTCATGCTCATTCAATAACGCCCTCAGCCCTTCGATAGCCCAGAGCATCGGCGTAGCCAGGGGGTTTGCGGGAGGAAGGAGGAGGATACTACCGCTGTCACGGGTCCCGTTAATTCGGGAGGCGATCGCCGGGCTAATTCCAAGGGCCGAAGTATCGGCCCCCCGAACCGCACCACGAAAGCGTGAACAATTTAGAAGTGGTCCTTTTTGGCGCGCCAGCGGAAGCCGGCTGTGGCCCAAAGAACAAGTCAGAGCCGAGAGTTGATAACCAAAACAAAATTATATTCTCAATAATGACGGATCGAAAACAATACACAAGAATGCACACTCCACAATAGTTGCATACAATATGTCACCAATCAAACAACGTACTACACAGTACAATCAGCCACACTCGAAACAACGGACACAGACAACAATACGCACTACAGTGCAGTCACATGCATTGAACAACCAAGACACTTAAAGACTAAAGAGATAGAAAACCTATTCAGTCCAAAGTTCTTGGAACAAAAGTCTAGATGATACCCTTCCGAGAATCACTCACTCAAAGTCCAGCGTTGTTGTCGTTCCGCTGTCCCCGAAGTTTCTCTTCCAGGAAACCTCGCCGAAGTTTCTCTTCCAGGAAACCTCGCGTCTTCAATTGGCCTTTCTCCAAACTTCAAACTTCTTCACCGGAAACACGTCGGCTTCACACACGCAGCTGTTGACACGAGTCTTCGCTCGATAGCGGTAAACACACACACTCTTGCCTGTAGCTCGAGTCGTCACCCCTCAGGTGGAAATCATCTTCTTCTCCTGCTTTGTCTCTACGGACAAAACCTTCGCCGACTACACGGCGGAATCCCTACTCACTCTGGCGCTAACTTCCGTCTTCTCCTGATCTCTCGTCTCGGCTGCTCGATTAAATACCTTCCGCGCGAGATTCCAGAAAGTTCTCATCATTTCGTCGGCGCGATGCGCAGCGAAGGCTGGGGGAAAGGTCGGGACGATACGAGGGCCGTCCCCGCCGGATGACTCAACCCGGCGTCACCACGCCTCTTTCCATCGAGAAATTTCGAGTGCTTGCTCGGCCGCCGATGTGGGGTGAGGAGGTTCGTCGGCGAAGCCACGCTTCCGAGGGGAGAAGCGCGCGCCCGGGGGTCTTTGGATGTTTGTTTTCATTTTTCTTTTTTTTATCGTTGACTTCGCGGCGTCACTCTGGCACTTCATCGCGAGACTTTGGCGGCGCGCCCTTTTTGAGCGCTCGTTTTGTGACACTGCCCCCCACTTTAAGAATATTATCTCATAATATTCAAAACCACACAAACGAGAGCGAACAGTTCCCACACACTTAAAGACTGTAACATAGTCCGTCGCTCATGACACGTCACATTCACAATAGATCACTCAATACAACGGTACATTACAATTCAATCTCACAACACATGAAATATAACCACCGTTACATGACTACAACACTCCATCACATATTCCAGACAACACAAATGTACAAAGTTCTCTCATTACAACAATTGTACAATCACATCACTGTAACAAACATTTTGACTCACTCGACATACAGTTGTGACACAGGAAAACAATCACATTAACTTGACATATAGCACTGTCAAACACATTCCAAATCGACTTCGACACCTATCCGGTGTATTTCGAGCGGCGCTTGCGCCCTTTTTTGCGGTGCTCTCTCGATCTCTTATTGTTTTTGCTCGTTTTGTTCCGGCGAGCCCCTCCCAACGACGGTATCTGAGGCGGCGTCTCAGCCATCGTTGTCACTTCCGACAGTGCTAGCGGGTCATGACGCTCAACCGATCCTGTCCGGTTATTCACCCGCTTGTTTATGTCCCGACATTTGGCCTGGCTGGCCGACTCCGTCATCTTTACATTGTCGGTCAGTTGAGGCAACACCACCTAAATGAGTGAACTTATCTAGGTGGTGTTGGTTGAGGTCGAGCCGAAGTAAGCCCAGCTGCCCAGCACGTGAACTCATTCAACACGATCATCTTCTCATTCGCTGTCTCTTGCGCCGCGGCTTCACCTTGGGCTCTAGTGAGATCCGTCACGGGCTGCTCCTCTACTGTATCTCGCGGTCGCTGGGTTGGCGAGGGCTCTATCTTAGGGTCTTCTCCCAAGCATTCCGGATCATTCGGTCCTCGCGCCCCGTCGATGTTTCCGATGACAAGGTCGTACAGGGGGGTCGTCATCCATAAAGCAGTAACCTTCCCGCTGAAGTACGGGGTTTCAACCTCGATTTCTGCTTCGGGAAGCATCCGAACCGTACGGTCAATTAGGCAAACTGGTTTCGTTTTGCCTGTTAACTCACTTTCCCGTACCAAATTTCTCCGCACGATAACAGTGGAGCTGCCGGTATCTCTTAACACCGTAATCTTTTTGTCCGCAACTTTTCCAGGCAGCGTTGGCATTCCCTTCGAAACACCGGTTGGCTGTTTTGCCATTACAGCACCCACAATAGGAATTTTCTCCCCATTTTTCAACTCTACGAATCCGTCGGTGACGGCATTATTACCGGATTTTGGTGCCGCTTGCACACAGGATACCTGGTGAATTTGACTCGCTCCGTTTCGACATGCGTCTGCTTTGTGCCCAGTCTGTCCACACTTAAAACATTTTACTACCGTAGGGCTCGTAAAGTTAGTACGACAGTTGCTCGCGCGATGACCCACTCGGCTACACAGGAAACATCGCGGAACACTGTCCGGTGCACGCTTCTTTTGTTCGGGTGCCGAATTTTTCGAGTCTTCGGGACACTCCTTCTTGACCTTGGCCAAATTAGTTCCACCTTGCGCTTCCAAGAATTGATCAGCCAGTTCAAGCATTCCTTCAAGTGACTCAGCCTTCCTCTCTTTCAAGTACAGCGACAGGCTTGGGTGGCAACTAATAAGAAATTGTTCTCTAATTAGGAGCTCTCTAAGCTCATCGTACTCCTGCGCTGTCCCTGAAAGTTCAATCCATCTGTCGAAATAATGGCTAAGTCGGGCGGCGTACTGCGTAGCCGTCTCACCATCAGCTGGCTTTCCTGTCCGAAATCTGTCTCGGAATCCTTCCACAGTAAATCTAAATCGCTTCAGCAAAGCAGCTTTCACCTTTGCATAGTTGGCTGCATCAGTCGGCGTCAGCCTACCGTACACACTGAGCGCTTCACCACTCAAGCAAGTACTCAAAGCAGTTGCCCATTGATGTTCCGGCCAATTCTGGCTCCTCGCAATCGTCTCAAATCGGTGAAGGTACGCGTCAAGGTCGTCCTTCCGTTCATCAAACGCCACGAGCAGCTTGCTTGGGTTCAAGCGGAAGCCGTGGTCCTCCCGTTCGCTGCTTTCAACTCTAGCTTGGACGGGAGTTTCACTTCGCTGTTGCAAACGGAGCCGCTCGAGTTCTATCTTGTGCTGTCGCTGCCCAGCCATCTTCGCTTTTCTTTCTTCTCTCGCCCTTTCGGCTGCCAACTTTCTCTCTCCAGCTCCAACTTCAATTGCTGCTCTCTTTCTTCCTTCAGCTGTCGCTCTTTTGCCTCTCTTTCTTCTTTCAGCTGTCGCTCCTTTGCTTCTCTTTCTTCTTTCGCCCTTTCAGCGGCCAGCCTTTCTCTCTCCAACTCAGCTGCTTTTTCTTCCTTGGCCCTCTCAGCTGCCAACCTCTCTCGTTCCAACTCAGCTGCTTTTTCTTCCCAGGCCCTTTCAGCTGCCAACCTCTCTCGTTCTAACTCAGCTGCTTTTTCTTCCTTGGCTCTCTCCGCTGCCAACCTCTCTCTCTCCACCGCCTCTTTCTCCTTCTGGCTTACCCACTTCCGTAGTTCGGCGCCAGAAAGACCCATCTTCTCACCAAGAGCAACTAACTTTTCGAGATCCATGGTGTGTCGCAAATAAAGTCTTGCCGCGTGTAAAAAGTATCTGCCTAAATCAGTCTATCGGAACACTCCCCTGCACTCGTTAACGAGAACGCTGAACAACACACAAAATCGTTCCGATAGCAGTATGAACAACTCGAGGCTCTTTCTCACTACTTTGGACACACTGTGCACCAAAAGGTCCTGTCGCGGACGCCAGATTAATTGTCACACAGGTCCCGTTAATTCGGGAGGCGATCGCCGGGCTAATTCCAAGGGCCGAAGTATCGGCCCCCCGAACCGCACCACGAAAGCGTGGACAATTTAGAAGTGGTCCTTTTTGGCGCGCCAGCGGACGCCGGCTGTGGCCCAAAGAACAAGTCAGAGCCGAGAGTTGATAACCAAAACAAAATTATATTCTCAATAATGGCAGATCGAAAACAATACACAAGAATGCACACTCCACAATAGTTGCATACAATATGTCACCAATCAAACAACGTACTACACAGTACAATCAGCCACACTCGAAACAACGGACACAGACAACAATACGCACTACAATGCAGTCACATGCATTGAACAACCAAGACACTTAAAGACTAAAGAGATAGAAAACCTATTCAGTCCAAAGTTCTTGGAACAAAAGTCTAGATGATACTCTTCCGAGAATCACTCACTCAAAGACCAGCGTTGTTGTCGTTCTGCTGTCCCCGAAGTTTCTCTTCGAGGAAACCTCGCCGAAGTTTCTCTTCCAGGAAACCTCGCGTCTTCAATTGGCCTTTCTCCAAACTTCAAACTTCTTCGCCGGAAACACGTCAACTTCACACACGCAGCTGTTGCCACGCGTCTTCGCTCGATAGCGGTAAACACACACACTCTTGCCTGTAGCTCGAGTCGTCACCCCTCAGGTGGAAATCATCTTCTCCTGCTTTGTCTCTACGGACAAAACCTTCGCCGACTACACGGCGGAATCCCTACGCGCTCTGGCGCTAACTTCCGTCTTCTCCTGATCTCTCGTCTCGGCTGCTCGATTAAATACCTTCCGCGCGAGATTCCAGAAAGTTCTCATCATTTCGTCGGCGCGATGTGCAGCGAATGCTGGGGGAAAGGTCGAGACGATACGAGGGCCGTCCCCGCCGGATGACTCAACCCGGCGTCACCACGCCTCTTTCCATCTAGAAATTTTGAGTGCTTGCTCGGCCGCCGATGTGGGGTGAGGAGGTTCGTCGGCGAAGCCACGCTTCCGAGGGGAGAGGCGCGTGCCCGGGGGGGGGGGGGTCTTTGGATGTTTGTTTTCATTTTCTTTTTTTTTTATCGTTGACTTCGCGGCGTCACTCTGGCGCTTCATCGCGAGACTGGCGGCGCGCCCTTTTTGAGCGCTCGTTTTGTGACAACCGCCTACCTCTACTACCAGAAATCTTCAGTTTTGCTTGTTCGCACACAGGAACACATAAAGCTTGGTTCATCCCCCAGTAGCGTAGGCGGAAAAAGTTAGCTGGCTACGCTACTGGCCCATAGCTGTTCTTCTGAATCTGTGCTGACTGCTTACCTGAAGCTTGCCGCTTCGATCCCGACGGTGGCGGTCGAATTTCGATGGAGGCGAGGTGGTAGATTCCCGTGTGCTGTGCGAGGTCAGCACGCGTTAAGAGTTCCCTGAGCCCTCCAATACGGTGTTCATCACAGTCATATCGTGGTTTCAGCACGTTAAACTCGGATATTATTATTATCATTCACATAGTGGTTCTGTGCTGAGCAGCAGTGCACATCATCAGTTATGCACGACACTGTCGGACCGGGGCAGGCCCACGGGATGTGAGGTGGGTCCGCGTTTTCCTTACATACTTTGCAGCTGGTGGAATAGTGATTCAAGTAATCACTAATCAACCAGGATCAGGTACCTGTTTTTTTAAGAGACGCCATGTCACATCTTGCTGCTTGTCAAGTGCGTACTGTGAGTGAGACGAAATTCTTTCCAGTCGATAATGGTTTGCAAAATTGCGCGTCTCCTCTGTCCCACCTCTGCACCTCCTCTACCCCACCTCCTCGCACTTTCACAAGATGAGGGGGAAGAGTTGGGGCATGCGCAGTAAGGGTGGTCACGCCACACACCTCCTGATTGATTTCCGCCATAAGCATCTAGAATCGGATGCCTGACACGTACGAAACTGACTACAGCGCGAGCTTTGCGAGCTTGCGAAACCGGCCTTCATACACACGTACACAAGAAGAGAAAATTGACGACCAACTTGACGATGTTTCATGGCCACAGTACAATAAAAAAATAAACAATGACAGTTTCTTTATCGCTCGATTGCTGGTTTTAATTATGCACTTACTGGGATTTTTCGCTCACGAACAAAGCTGCTGACGACGACGACACCAGATCTTTTGCAACACCGGTTTCTTTATGCTACTGCGTTAAAATGTCTTCTACTCCTACCGCGCATGTCCTAGTGCTTAATTCTCAAGTTATTTCCGACATTTCATTTTTCATCATCTTCCTACCATTCGTACTAGTGGTTCAGCTGAACTGATCAAGCAGAACACCTCCACTTCCGTATCTAAAGGTCTGCCTAGCACTTTCGAGAGATATTTCAATCTCAAAGCAGTTGATGTTTTTATTTTACAGAGAAGCGGTTGATACGATAAATTACGTATGCCTTTCTCTGGGCGCAGATCCGGGACTCTGACCTGGAGGAGCTGAAGAAGGCTTTCCCGCAGTACATCAATGATCACGTGGAGCGGCTGACGCTTGACAACACGCGCATCGGCCAGATATACGTGGGTGACATCATACGGCCCATGTCGAAGCTGCGCAGTCTGCAGCTCGAGAATGAGACCATCCAGGAGGTTGAGTATGCAGATCATACGTATATAGCTATATTCGATCAGCCTCTGCGATCCGCCACGGGGCTTGACTGCGCGGGATCGCATCCCTGCCGCGGCAGCCGCATTAGAAAAAAAAAAAAGGCAGATTGCCACAGGCCCGTGTGGTTAAGTTTAGCTATACACGTTAACGAAACACAGGTGGTCGAAATTTTCGGAACACTATACTGTGGCTTATGATTATATCGTGATTTTGGAGCGTCAAACCATAACAATTAAGTAATCAATCATCTAGGTCACTTTATATAAAGGCGTTTTCTCGGAAACGTAATGTCGAATGGACGTATTGTGACCGTGCAATGGGTATTGTTTTTGCGTCTTGTTAATCAGACGCCGTCGTAATGACCTTGTGGCGCCTTCTCACACTCTTCGTCTTTTTCATTCTTTCATAACCCATTTCTACTTCTAAGTACACGTAGCCAACTTGACCTCCTTTTTTTGGCAGACCCATCTCTTCTCTTCACCTTTATCTCTCTGTCTAATTCTCTGTCTAACTCGTGGTTTTGTGTTGCCTGTATATTCATTCGGAATCGTAGTATACAAGCTTTGTTCTATTTTTATATCATAAAGTGTAAGCTCATCTCGCTTATAACTTGCATGTTTAAAGCGGAAAAGCGGGAGCAGTGGGCCAAAGCTGGTAGCAGTGGGGCGATTGATGGTCTTTTCACGTGTACCCTCATCGCACACTGATGAATGAATCACTTTGAGGGGACTACTGCGCGTGTTGTAGAGGGTTATCCGTGCATCTCATGTCGACACAGGCGTCTGCATTCCCTCTTGCAACTTCTGCAGGAAACTCCTCGTAGACACTGTTTACATTACCCTGCGGAAAGCCTAGTGCTGTTAAAGACTGTAGTGCGTTGCCAGTCGTGTGCTCGTTTCCCTCGCAGCTTCAGGCGAACATGTTCGACTCGCTGCCCCTGCTGGACGAACTGGCCGTGAACAGCGCCCACCTGGTGTCCGTGCGCGAGAACGCCTTCGTCAAGCTCAACCTGAGCCGCCTTTGGCTGCGCTACAACCACCTGACTCAGGTGCCTGACGCCGTGAGCAAACTGCCCTACCTGCGCGAGTTGGACCTCTTCGAGAACCGCATCGAGGTGGTCACCGACCAGGAGGCACTCGTCCTCCAGTCCAACCTCAAGCACCTCCGCCGACTCGTCATGAACAGTGCGTTATACAGTAGCTCCTGTCATCTGCTTCACATGATTTGACATCCACATGAGTAATTTAAAAAAGGCTTAGGTTCCTAAAGAAAAGCTAGCGAAACCACGGCACATGAGAACGAACACTTGGTAGATCTTACAGTCAACTTTTGGACCGTCTTTCTTTGACGACCGCTCGCTGATCGAGGCTCCGTCCGCGATCTTATTGTCTAACCGTCTCGAAACGTTTACTTTTCTCTCTGTCTTTATTAATGATCCTTTTCTTTGTGAACCACAGCTGAGGTGTTCCCACTTTGCTGGAGACAGTTCACTTAGCTCATTTCCTCTTTCAGAATGTGGACTGTACTGTAGCGACAGCAGGTTTCTACTTCAGGCAAGCTGATTTAAGTTTGTAATTAATGCCAACATTATCGCGGGCATCGTCATACATTATTACTGAAAGTGAACGGAACAGCACTCTGCGGGATCAGTTAGTTTAAAATTAGTACAGGAATACCCTACTGAGAATTGCATGGCATGCACCAATCTTTTTTACCCAAGAGCTTTTATTCTCTTCTCTCTCTCTCTCTTTGCCCATGATGATTTGATTCTCAGTGCGTCTGCCTTCTTTTTCGTTTCCTGCGCTCTTTCGCTGGCTCTTCCTCAAGTGACATGAACCAAATGGCTCAGATATCGACTCTTCATCTGTATAGGTACCTCAACAAAGGTGAAAGGTGACCGTTGGTGTCACTATGCCGTGATTGTGTCGTCACATAGCATAACATAACACGATGACGTCATAACACGACACCATCACTTGGTCGAAGGTTCACCGACCCCGGAGGCACCGCAGAATCACGCGAGGTGCAGCGCTACGTATGTGTTCTTCCTTTTACATGTCTGTCCCGTCTCGGCGCGATGTTCCACGCTCAGTGTCTACCTGCTTATCCGCCAACAGTCGGCGCTGCAAACGACTTGCCTGCAAACCTCCAATTCCAGAGGCTGGAGGTAATCGTAGAGACACTGCAAATAGACGCAGAAACCTTCCTGTAGGGCGGAGGTGGGGTCAGTACAACCAACTGAGAAGTAAAATAAAATGGCTTTCGCTTTCGAATTATTAGGCGAATGCATGAGAGACCGGGAGGCTTCTGGAAGAAAACTCAATCTCTGAATTACATGGAATCGAGGCGACGTTAAAAGAGATAAAAGAAGTAATGTTAGGGCTAGTTGTTTGTGCTTACACAGCTTTATGCGTACTGAGCAGCGCTCTCTACCGTGACACACAAACAACGCAAGCCCGACACACACGAAATAGACAAGCGCGAACCAACAACTGTTCATGATGACACAGAAGATGACGTCACCCATATAGCTCTGGATATGCAATATTAACTCACGTTGTTTCAGACTTGGAAACACCAGACAATATTAGCCAACATTAGTCAGCGCCTGTAGTGTGCGAGTTTATTGTTGCGACAGCAGATTTTTACTTCAGGGAGGTTGACTTCAGTTAGTAATTAATGCCGACATTATTGTGGGCATCGTCATATATTGTTACTGAAAGTGAACGGAACAGCACTCTAGCTGTGGGATCAGTTACTTCAAAATTGATGCAGTGTAGTGAAGAAGATGAGTGCTACTCAGAAAGGCAGGGGGTATGACTCAGTCGGTGAAGAAGACGACGTTTGGTTGGCTGGGTACTCAGGCTAGTTCAGCCAACCAAACGTCGTCTTCTTCACCGACTGAGTCATACCCCCTGCCTTTCTGAGTAGCACTCATCTTCTTCACTACAGCAGGAACACCCTACTGAAAAGTCGTATATATGGCGCGAAGCGTTTTTTGAAGTTTACTTTTATTTTTAAGGGATTATGCGAGGTATGAACGGTGTATGTGCGACGTGCGATGTATCCCATGCACGGTGCATGTGCTGCGCAGAGATGCAGTGTGACTGCGAGTTGGGCAAGGGCGAGTTCCTGTCCTGGATTCGGCGGGCGAACATCAGCGGCGTCAAATGCGGCGAGCCGCCCTCCCTGCTTGGCAAGGACGTGACTGCGCTCACCACCAAGCAGTTCTGCGACGCGGCCGCCATGCCGACAGCCGGAGCAACTTGCCTGGTTGCCTTGGCTGCAGCGCTAGTCGCCCGGTACTTCGCTGTCGCCGCCAGCTGAGAGAAGTCCAAGCCGTGTGATGGGGATTCGTGACTAATGTGATGGAGGAGTGGTGCTTCCTCTCAATGGCTGGGAGTCGGTGCTCGAGTTGGACACTATAGTAGAACGTTTTTGGCGAGTCGGTAACACCGTACGACAAGTACGAAAATATCTCACCATTACAGTCAACTTGTAGCTTGCTTTTTAAGCGTTTTATCCGTTTTATAATAGTTCATGACGCGAGGTGACGTGATGAGTGGATCAAAGGGCTAATATGGAGGTATTGAAGACTAAACAAGCTGTGTGCTCACCAGCATGACATGGTAATACTGTATACTTACCATGTGCTAAACCTACTCCGCTTATAAAAGAAGCGTCAGCGAGCGAGACCGCTGACTTGAGTGGTTATAGTCATAGTAATAAGGGCTGCACGCGAGCACCATTACCATGAATTCAAACCAACTAGCCCAAATAGCCGTTCTTCCTCAATGCAGTTATAGTCGTAAGCATGTGCGTAGCTCTCCAAGGGTGGGCCGGGGGAGAGGGGAGGTAGGCGGCGCCTTTCCCACCTTTCTGCACTACGCCCACACGTCTCGATTGCCTATTGGTCCATTTCTAAAGAACCCAATGCCTGATTGATTGCAATGGATACGGAAATGAAAATGAACTGATAGCGTCCTTCACACAGCGGCCAACCCTTTTTACAAAGGCCTATGGCTACATCGCATACGGACTGGACGTGCGAGTGTGCCGACAGACTAGTCGTTGATTCTATCACCTTGCGTACTTAGTGTACCATAGAAAAAATGAAAAGGATTCGAAAGGGTTCACATTTGAGGGTCAGTCAGCCCAATATTTTGTCGCTTTATGAATGTTCTGACCATGTGCGACGTTTCCGTCCATGTCATGCGGGGAATCAATGCGCCCAACTGTGTACACTGTACTGGAGTATAGCGGGAAACTGAATGAAATTGGGACGTTATTGTCTGTTGTCAGTAAGAAAAAAAGCGTGTGCAAAAACCATCATAAGATCACGTGATTGTACGCGTTGCTGCACAGACACCAAGCAAACCTTGACACCAAGTTCAGAGGATTCTATGTTGGTCCGTTTTACTTGCATAATTAAACGGGGAATATTAAACGCATCAAATAATAAAATATATTTCTTCAAATTGACTGCCTTTCTTTCCTCGCTACGAAACATATAGTAGTGGTGCTGTATAGAACTGCCCAAGCCACCGTTTTCGAGCTCAAGTTTGCTATTCCTTCTATAATGCAAACACTGGCTCTGCTCGTCTATGTAATGTGGCCATTGTCCACTGGTCGCGCATGAGGCTGTTTTCTTGGGCCTTCAGAGATCTCCTTCAAACAGCTGCGGCTGCAGTTTCAACTTTAAAGGTAAGTTTTGGAACTCTCGTGCATTCGATGAAATGCATTGCTATTGCATTTAATCTCGAAAAGGTAAGCGTTTCTAAATATAGTAATTTTCGATATATTAAAGTATCCTGGCATTTGATTGATATGCGGGGTTTTACGTCCCAAAACCACCATATGATTATGAGAGACGCCGTAGTGGAGGGCTCCGGAAATTTCGACCACCTGGGGTTTTTTAACGTACACCCAAATCTGAGCACACGGGCCTACATTTCCGCCTCCATCGGAAATGCAGCCGCCGCAGCCGGGATTTGAACCCGCGACCTGCGTGTCAGCAGCCGAGTACCTTAGCCACTAGACCACCGCGGCGGGATATCCTGGCATTTGAACAAACTCTATAACTGAGGCTGCTTTCCGAATAAAACGGTAAGCCTTTCGAAATCTTGTATTTTTCAGTATCTGAGGATATAATCTAAAGTGAATGAAATTAATTCAGTCTGCATTTCCGACTAAAAGCAAGCCTATACCATTTCGAAATTATATTTGATGATTTCTATGCATCGTTAAATTTTAATAAAATTGATTCAGGCTCCTTCTCCGGCCAACTTTCGCAAATAATCTCGTAACTTTCAATATTTCAATACATCGTCAAAATTTATTAAAATTGATTAGCAATAAAATTGATGTCATATTTTTGTATACTTGAATCTACGGCCTAAATTTGAATAAAATTGATTCAGGTGGCATTTTTTATTAACAAGATAAGCCTATAACCTTTGAAAATCCTGAGTTTTTTTTTTAATTTGAATGTATCGTCAAATTTGAATAAAGTTGATTCAAGGGGCTTTTGCGGTGGCATTTGCTTTAAAGCATTGGGGCGTTGGTTCGGAACGCGCCGCTGTCAGTGTTATATTTTTATGTAGCCTGTTTGTTTTTATACATGAATTCCTTTTTCCTCCTCGCTGGTTATGGTGCTCCACTGCTATAAGTAGTGAGATTTCAATGTAGGCAAAATGCTATAGGTGTGCGTTTAAGAACACTACCCTTCATTATTCGGTTCCTCGTTATCATATCAGAGTCAACAGATTGTGGGACGTAAAATGCACGCGAGTTTACGTTAAGCCTGCTTACGACAGTACGAGACGTTTTCATAAAAGTTCTTATTACCTGTATTATGTAAATTGGCATGCAGCGATACATATCAACATGAATGTTTCATATACGTCTAACTTTTTGCGGAATACTCATATCCGGGCACCGATTTCACGAAATAAAATCCGTGCAGACTAACTTCCAAACGCAGGTTCCCGTGTAGCCGAGATGCTAACGCGTCCAGCTCGTATTCTAGAGGTTGGTGGTTCGAATCTCGTTTCTGTACTCGGCAGTAAAGGCAGTCATACAGTGCTGAGATCAGAAATACACGTACATTTTATTTTTTTTAGAGCGAACTTGAATAATGTGTAGAACAACTTCTAATCACAGCGATTCCCGTGCCGTTGCACTAGCTGAGACTGTATGGTGTTCAGTTGCCACAATCGTTAGGTAGTTCGAATCATACCGGTGGTATTACTGAGTACAAAGAAACGCCTACTGTAGTGAGAGCACTGACGCGCACAATCCCCTCTTCAAAGCCCAAGTGCGAGGTTGAACTGATGTTCAGGCTAACTGTTAAGCGAAAAAGAAAACCAGCTGGACCAAGAAGCTTTTTGACCTAATTTATTAATCAATAATTGAAATCCGTATGCACTTAAATGTTAACATACTCAAAATTCCCATTGCGACTGAAAGGCAATCCTGCCTTCAACGAAACACGAGTTTCAAATTAAATTTTGATGATGCCCCAACTTACTATGATACGTGCTATGTTCAATGTCGGCTTTGTGAAAGGCTCTCGAGCCAAATAATCCCTTGATGCATCTGATTCACCGCATTACATGTCGAAAACCAGCGCGAAAAAGTTGAGGCTCTAATCAGCTATGATTAGGCTAAACTTTTGTCTGACGCCTTACCCTGCATTGAGAGAAGCTATCCGAGCAACGTGTACCCCTGTTGCGTCTGCTTCACCGCACTACTTGTCTAAAACCAGCCGAAAAAGTTGAAGCCCTAATCAGCTGTGATAAGGCTCAACTTGTGTCTGACGTCACACGCTGCAGCGATGGAACCTATCCGAGCCACGGGTTCCCCTGATGCGTCTGCTTTCACCGCAATACATGCCGAAAGGCTGCCGAAAAAGTTGAAGCCCTAATCAGCTGTGATAAGGCTAAACTTTTGTCTGACGCCATACCCTGCATTGAGGGAAGCTATCCGAGCAACGTGTACCCCTGTTGCATCTGCTTCACCGCACTACATGTCTAAAACCAGCCGAAAAAGTTGAAGCCCTAATCAGCTGTGATAAGGCTCAACTTTTGTCTGACGTCACACGCTGCAGCGATGGAACCTATCCGAGCCACGTGTTCCCCTGATGCGTCTGCTTTCACCGCAATACATGCCGAAAGGCAGCCGAAAAAGTTGAAGCCCTAATCAGCTGTGATAAGGCTAAACTTTTGTCTGACGCCATACCCTGCATTGAGGGAAGCTATCCGAGCAACGTGTACCCCTGATGTGTCTGCTTCACCGCATTACATGTTGGAAACCAGGTGAAAAAGTTGAAGCCCTGATCAGCTGTGATAAGGCTCAACTTTTGTCTGACGTCACACGCTGCAGCGAGGGAACCTATCCAAGTCACGTGTTTCCCTGATGCGTCTGCTTCACCGCAATACATGCCGAAAGGCAGCCGAAAAAGTTGAAGCCCTAATCAGCTGTGATAAGGCTAAACTTTTGTCTGACGCCATACCCTGCATTGAGTGAAGCTATACGAGCCACGTGTTCCCCTGATGTGTCTGCTTCACCGCATTACATGTCTAAAACCAGTCGAAAAAGTTGAAGCCCTAATCAGCTGTGATAAGGCTCAACTTTTGTCTGATGTGACACGCTGCAGCAAGAGAACCTATTTGAGCTACGTGTTTCCCTGAAGCGCCTGCTTTACCGCATTACATGCTGAAAACCAACCGAAAAAGTTGAAGCCCTAATAATCTACATTAAGGCTCAACTTTTGTCTGACATCACACCCTGCAGCGAAGGAAGTTATCCAAGTCCCGTGTACCCCTGTTGCGTCTGCTTTACCGCATTACATGCCGAAAACCAGCTGGAAAAGTTTAGTTCCTTATCAGCTACGATAAGGCTTAACTTTTGTCTGACAGGCCCACCGTTTTGGAGTACCCATTTATCAGAATCCAACATACCTTAAAAAATTTGTAATTGCCACAGCCTTACTACGTTTTGGCCTGAAGTGCCCCTTTATCCGAATTTGATGAACCTTTGGAGAGCTCCAATCTTTCGATTTTCAAAGGCTACACACAGACTTAGCATTTTGGCCTGATGTGCTCATTCATTTGAACTCGACAAATTTTAAAAATCGGCTAACTAGAGATTTTCAAGTGTTACAGGCTTACCATGTTGGTATGAAGTGCCTATGTATCAAAATTCGATTAACCTTGGAAAGCTCAAGTTTTTCGAATTTCAACTGCTACCAGCTTACCATTTTGGCCTGGAGTGCTCATTCATCAAAATCTATTAACCATTCAAAATTGGAAAACTGGAGATTTTGTGGAAGTGCCCATTAATCGAAATTAGACCAAGCTGTTGCCTTCTATAATTCAGAGGTGCATTTGTTTACTGCAAACATGCTAAGGAGATAATTTTGTGACAAATTATCCTATGATGCTTTCACATGGACAACTTTTAAAATGTTCTAATATGTCCCTGACATTTTTTTTTTTCCTTCTTTTGTCTAGAGGTAGAAGATAAAGAGATGGAACTTAATTGCACAAGTAATCTTGGTTGGCCAGTGGGTGAGTGACACAAGCCATGTCAGTTAAACAATGTTAACGAAAAGTCTCACTTTCACGCATACAGTCTTGCAATCTCAGATCTGGTCTGAAGTTAGCCAAATGATTAAAAAGCCCAGTCTGCAAAAAACACTTTAATGACGTGGACATTCTATGCAGCATAAAGAGAATATAAAATCACGGGACATACTGTAATATGTGACAATATTGTTAAGTACTTTGCCATTTAGCACACAAGAACTTTTGGAAGAAACAGTGCTTGACAAGAATGACACTTCTGAGAGAAAACAAGCTAGATTAGTAATGAATACAAATACTTACGATTGTTTTATTCTTAGAACCGAAACAGTGTAACAATCCTGGAACACAATACTGAGCCTCTTAACAAGTAAAACAGATTGCATACTTTAAAGCACTTTAACCTTACATTTCTCAGCATAAAGTATGTGTTATACATGTCCTGTATATTAACAAGAATGCAAAAGCAGTGGCAACCACAGGGGACTTAGTGACCTCATTGAAAGGGCCTGACATAAGCAGCAACTTTATTTAAAACCTCTCAAATTTTTAGGCTACTGTAACGACAATTACCCACACGAATAAACATGACAACTACACCTGGGAGCACACGCCACATCATCAGTTCTATCCGCTTTCATTTTCCCGCTTCTCGACTGTCCAAGAATAGTTTTAGAGTTCTAGAAACCGTTCAGCAGCGAGAATGCATGCTGATGTGTGTACAGGTGCTCCGAAGTAAAACGGAGCACCCAAGCTGTGGCCAAACTACACAAAAGCGATGCTGACGTGCTCCATCATAGAAGTGGTTGTTCATTTTTATACGGAAATGATGGCCCTTATCTTCTGGCACATTTTCATATAAAAATAAAGGACCACTTCTATGATGCAGCACGCTGGCATTTACCACAGTTCATGTGCTCCGTTTTACTTTCGGAGCACCTGTAACCATTGCTCACATCATATTCTACACTTAATTTGTCTAAAATTACATCAACACTTCTTTGAGAAGCAAATAGGGTCCAAGCAACAAGGCTGTAGGTGTGCTCCTTCGACATTCTAACAGGAGCTATCACAGTTATATTAAATATAAATGTAAGTCACCGGCAGTGTAAATGGTCAAGTACATAGATCATGTGCTCACTATCACAACACAAAAGTTCCAACAATGAATTCCAGCAAACCACATAAGTAGACCAGCAATTTGCAATCACAGCACACACAAAAAAAGATGTGAACTAAGAAGAGAGATGAACTGCTGTTACGTTCATTTCAATGCACTCTTACTAACTCTCCACACTCGCCACACTTGACACATCAAAACTGCAAGAAGGATGCTACCTAGTCGCTTTTAAGCATGAAATAAATATTACACATGTTGTACCTAATCAAACAAGACAGACAATGTAATTATTCATCGAGAATATATAGTTCTGTACTTCAATGTGGCCTAACTAAGGTCAACATAACACTGCTGCTTCAAAGCACTCAGTGTTCTTGTCAGAGAAAGTTGAGCAATGCATTAGCAGCAAGTAACTATAAATTTGACATGTCACAGGTGTCATTAAAGTAGTGAAGCGGTACAAGCTCTCAATGTTACAGAACAGTTTTTGGGAAATACAGGGCCGTACGCTGTACAAGATCAGTATGCAGAATAAAAGCTTTACTTCATAAATGCAAAGACGTTTATAAAAAAAGATATAGGCATGGCAAAGATCCCGGATATGCATAGTTTGAGCGGACTGGCTGTAACCGAAAGCGTATAAGCGTAGATACTGCTACAAATCTCTGTTATTCCAAAACTTACTTTATGGATAACACTTTTTTATGGCGAGATGGTGCTTAATAACACCTGCATAACCATATCTGTCCACTTGCATAATTACAGGCCTACATCGTAATCCACATTGTTGTCAAGCACACTCTTTGTGTGCTGCAGCAGGTAATCTCCATTCAAAGTCGTCATAACTGCTTTGTCTTTCTTCATAGCTTCGATCCACTTGTGAAGGTGCGGGAACTCTTCAACAGTGGGAGGTTTCAACTCGGGAAAGATGGTTGCAAAGGCTTGCACTCGAGGAAAGAAGGGCCATACCATGTAGTCTGCAAAACCAGGCTTGTCACCTGAAGTAAAAGTGAAAGAAAACACAGCTAAACATTAATGAATCCTTGAGCTACAAACAGATTATCCTTTCTGATAACCATAAAAGAAGGGTAAGTCTGTACTAATTCACAAGATCCAGAGTCCATCTAATTCTAGATCAAATAGCAAAGTTATTTATGAATAATTGATTGACTGGTTATTACTGTTTGAGTACAAAGTGCTCCCAGAACAACTACACTCATTTAATACATTGAAAACCAATACCTTAACGATGATTTCAAGTGCACATACTTGTTTGTCAATTTTCATAAGAAAAATAAACACGTACTCCTTAGAATAAGCAAGCCACAACAACAAACTCAAGTTACCAGAGTTTCATTCTCGACACTAGAGAAGGCTTGCTATGCTTGGCCCGTCCACAATTGCACAATAGTGTGGCTCTGAGCAACCCTGTCTGCTTTGAGCAGAGGAAGCCATGGCTAGTGCATGATGGGCTATGCAATCAGATGTCCACATGGCCTCCTGCATTTAAATCCTCACAGCAAAAATGCAGTGTTGCAATCTCAGCAAATTAAACCGTCACGATTTCTACTGTAGCAGTAATGAATATGTGAAGAGTAGTGCTTTTGCCCCATGAGAGCAATCCTTACACATTTCCACGCTGATATGCCCTTGTCTGTAGAAACTACGTTAAGTGGAGAAATTCAGTCCCGCTTCAAGTAAGGCAATGACTACATATAGCAGCACAGTTTTCTCTAAACCATCTTATTTGCACAATGACGAAGTATTAATGTATCAGCAGTGGTTCCCCGCTATATAAGCAAACCACCCCAGGCGCATCCAAGGTTTGTTATCAGGACTACTTACCTTTTAAATTTCATCAAAGAGATGTTTTTTACAGTGAAAAGTGGAGAGCTTAGGGTACTCTCCATGGTGCAGATTAGTGATGTTAATACTCTGCGCATTTCAGAAAAGAAATTGCATGAATCTTGGAAATGAAGCGCCCCTGAATAATTTTTTAGGTTTTCTCAGACACAGAATGAAAAGGGCAAATAAAAAATCTGTATTTTTGCATGGTTTCCGAAAAAAATCGTAGTAGGGAAAGAGTTTATATAAGGTGGTGCAGTTGACATGAGAACGATGCTGACCTACATATCCAAACCACATTGGGTGCATCTGTTTTGTGGCCTGCGTGTGCTGACAGGTATTTGTGACTGTGCCAACAATGTTGAGCAGTGGTCATTCAAGAGTAGTGCATACCCCCCCACAAAAATGACATTTATGCATGCGATTTGATCATTATGGCAAATGAGCAGACTGAACATGGGACGCGTGCAATAAAAATGCAGAATCAGCTCAGGACAAAATGAATGACCACAAATTTTTGCCCTTTAGTAACATTAGATGAATAGAAAACATGAAAATGTGTGCAAGGCATCTGAGCCAGGCAGTCTCTCGAGGCGCTGTTAATACTTGCAATCTGCTTCAGAGGCTAGCTTTCCCCAGCCCTTTATTTTTTTGTTTCGAAGAGATGTTTTCTGCATTCAGGACTAGAGTGGCTAGAGCAGTTTCTATGGTGCAGTGCAATGATGCCAGTACTCTGCATATTTAAAAAAAATGACTTCACTTGCATCTTGTGAAAAAAAAGAAAAAATGCCTTTAATTAGTTTTTTAAGTAGCTTCAAGAAAATTAAAATGAAAAATCACATAAAAAATCGGTATTTTTGTGCCACTTTTGGCCCAAAAGCTTGGTAGGGAAAAGGTTGATGTAATGGCTATGCAGAACTATGTAGTACTTTTATTCACTTGCACGTCTTAAATATAAGAGATTTGACACCAAAGTACATTGAAAGTGCTTGAAGGGTCCCTAACCAGGCTACATAGCGAATTTTAGTTATGCACTAGAAGTTATAACGTGCCCAATAGAGTGCTTTCTGCTGCAAGAATTTTTCAAATTTGTATGTTAGAAGGAGATATATAACACATTTAGAAGTTGTGCGAAACTATGACGTGAGGAGGTGAGCTTCACACTTTTAGCCACTTGCCCTGTCGAACATTCGCGAGCTGAATGGCAGCCCTGCATTCTCTTGTACCGGACATGGAGCCTCACGTGATGAGCGCACATCACAGTACGCACACGTCCAATTAGTGTGCATGACGCACCTTCTTTCTTATGCTGTGCAGTGAAGCACAAGCACTTACATGTACCGAGTGTGATACACCGCTATGCCAACACAGCACAGCGCCTGCAGAAAAGGCAAACGATGTTCAGTCTGAAATTTGACAATTTCCATGGCATGCAGCGTGTAACTTATGGCAGACGTGATTGTGAATGAACAATGTAAGCGCTGTGCTTGTCAGCTGAAAGTGGCCAGATCTTAAGAGGGGCCCTTTGAGGAAGCACATAGAGCACAAACTCACCAGAAATGTAGAGAGTCTTTCTTGCAGACAGTTCCTCTTCGTAAGCTCGCACCTTCTCCTTAAACTCTTTCCACAGCTCGACTCTGTTGTCCTTGTTGTAATGTATCTTGAGCACTGGCATTAGTGCCTGTCAGTAAGGTTTGAAATCGAAACAGAAACAAATCCACTAGCGAAACAATAACATCAGAACCAAAGATGCATTCCAAATAGTACCATCATGACTACTTTTGGCTTCCACAACTTAAAACATAGACTGATACTTCTAATGAAGCATGGTACAGTGGCTTTGAGAATTTCAGGACTATAATGGCATAGAGTGCAAAAGATTTAAGTCACTTGGACGTGAATGAAAAAAGTTTCAGAAGCTGCACGTGGTGCCCCTGCAAGAGATGCACAAAACAACCAGTGCTGTGCCTCTTTTTTTTTTCATATACCATTGCAAGAACCAGATAGGCTAGTTGTATATACTTATACTAATTAATTTTTTACTGCAAGCAACTGTCATTAACTTGCTCGCAGTATAAAGCTACAAAAAAAACCTTGTTTTTTCAGAATAAGAAATAGTATTTTTTTCTTGCGAGTCAAGTGAATCACAAAAAGGAATGTTCAAAGGTTTCATGATGTGGAATAGTTTTGCACCAGGGGCTGCATTGTATGTTAAGGCCTTTCAAGCTATCACTATAAGCAGACATTGCAACGGTTGATCCCCTGACCCGTTTGCATACGACTTCGATGAAGTCTTCAAAAGGTTCCACACTGCACAAAAACAAAGAAAACAAATCCCTGAAAGCAGTATGTTGTCCCACCATGGTGGTCTAGTGCCTAAGGCACTCGGCTGCTGACACGCAGGTCGCAGGATCGAATCATGGCTGCATTTTCGATGGAGGTGAAAATGCTGTAGGCCAGATTTGGGCGCATGTTAAACAGCCCGTAAACCACCTCCGATATTTTTTGAAGCATTTCAAGTAAACGTGCACATCGTGTGCAGAATGCCATCGCGATCAACTATTCTGCACGTGGCAGCGCTAAGAGCCGCCGGTGCACCACCAATTCCAAGAAACAATCCCTCCTCTTTTCCGGGCCTCCGCGTGACGCACTGTGCCACATCTGCAACGCGCCGAGCCACATATGCCAAATATACTGTGACTGGTCGAGCAAGAGCCTACGACTTCTGATCAGTCTACAAGCAGCTGTCCACGCTGCTTGTTGTTGTTCGCCATGTGCGTGCGTGTAACATGTGCGGGGCACGGCGTGTCTTTGTACGGGTCTATCGCGTTGGCAACTCTTCGAAGGCGTGCGCGCAACGCAGGTTCCATACCAACACGATTACGGCAGCCACGGTTTGCCAACAAGCATGCAACTGACTGAGTCGACGGCCGGAGTCACGGCAGCGGAACTAGATGGTGTTTCAAGCAGCGTGTCAGCGATGACGTATGCCACTTGAGATTGGGAGGGGTATAGGAGGGGCGCTCGGCGAGAGGGCAAAGTGGTGTGAGAGAGGATACCAGTGCAGCAAAGCGCATGAGAAAGCGAAAGGTGTGGTCATCACGGTTTGATAATCAAACGCTAACTCTGCTATTGCTGCACCCTTTTGAAAAATTCTCGCAGCTCTGTGTTCGTCGTACACTCGTGCACAATTTCCCCACCACAACTTAATTTCGACCTCTGGGTGGTTTACGGGCCCATTAAAGAACCCCAGGTGGTCGAAATTTTCAGAGCCCTCCACTAAGACGTCTCTCCTCATCATATGGTGCATTTGTGAAGTTAAACACTACATATCAATCAATCAATCAATGAAAGCAATATGTGAAGACCAAAGACCAGTTGCCTCTTTGTACACTTTCAAAGTCACTCACCGCAGAGCCGACTTCAATAAACATCTTCTGCCTCGCTTTGAGGTAGGGATCCGTTGGCAGAAGCTTCTCCTTTCCATATGCATCGTCCAAATACTCCGCCACAATCAACGATTCGCAGACCAGCTTGTCGTCCTGTTGGAGTATTGGGACTTTGCCAGCTGGATTCAACTTGAAATGCCATTCGGGCTTGTCCTTGAGGTTTATATTAACAACTTCATGGCTGGAAACGAGACAGAATTTAAATAGAGGGTTTCATTCCAAAAAGCACTGAGAGTGCATGGAACAATTATAAAATAATTAGACAACAGAGGCAAAGGGTGCTGACTTCCAACTAGGTTTTATTTAGATAGGAAGGGCATATATACAAGTCAAAGAAGAGAGTTCGAGACAAACAGAATAAAAAAAAGAGGAGAAACGAAAGGATGTACAGGTGCAGCAAGCATTGCTTTATTCTTTTAGATACTTCAAGCATACCCCCACAAGCCACCATTTGTGCCCTAAAACCCAACCAGGTAATCTAATTATTGATTAAAGCACTACAGATGGTGCAATAACGCATTTATCATCTAGCTTGTGTACCTAATCAGCTTTGATAACTTCAGTTATTGCTGATGTATCAAATCGGCTACGATAACTAAAGTTATTGAGCTGATTTGATACATGATTTGAAACACACGGTGGACAGTCCACAAGGTGGACACCATGAGAATCGCGCTCCAGCTGTGGTTCAGTACAATAAACCTGTGGTAAGCCCCTAAGGAGATGCTTATTTCAGTGTGATTCGAGTCAGCTCAGTTTTTACAGTGCACAGTTAGCATAGATCACTATTTTGTAATGATTATTCTAACAAACAGTTATCACTTGCATTTTGCAAATCGTATGCGATTGATACTTACTCAATATTCTTTGCATGGAGCACGAGGAGGGCCCTCTGACAGAATGGGCAGAAGCGCATGCTGTAGATGCGGAGCTTACCAGGTGCCAGAAGGGGACATGGCATGCCTGCACAGTGGTTCCACAGATCATCATAGATACATTATATGAAACAATACAGAAGAGCATTCCCTGGGAGATCGGCTGCTTCACCACGAAACTGAACCATAAAAACAAAGTTGCATCTGCTCAATAGATTCGCTGTTTAGGATATGCATCATGAACATCATAGGCATGTGCACGAGGGGGGTAGAGGAGGGTGCCTCCTCCACCCTATTACCTAGGAGAAGGGTGCTGTGATGAACTTTCGCCCCCCCCCCCCCCCCCTGAAGAAGAAACCTGCACAGGCATACGGTGCACATGTAGCCGTTACAAGGGCAAGGACATGCATTTTCAATTACTTTATTCGATATCATAGGAAATCTATCTTGTACTTACTGCTCCTTTGTTCTTGAGCATATTTTGCAGAAAGATAGCTGAGCCAGCTAAAATTAGGAAGGCATACAGCTAAACACTAAGTACTGCAACCTGGGGGAAGGGCAAGCCCACAACCCCCCTCATTGCCGCCTATGGCATTGATGCTCACACATATTTAAATATTATAATCATAATTATTTCATCTAATAATAACAACACACAATGGTGTTGTTATTAGAAGTTATTACGAGCACAATAAAGTGCCTCCTGCACGCTACAGGACGTAGCCACTCCCTGGCTACGTCTTGTAGCGTGCAAAACAAAACGAAAAAAATCTGACAACAGTGGCTTAACAAGTAGGAAGGGGTTTTCAATCCCCCCCCCCTAGTCCCCCACCTCCCCCAACATATTTGCATGCCTAGAACCAACATATCAGCGCGCATGACGATAAAAAGCAGTAGGACCCCCCGTGAGAAAGAAGTCTCTGGCTAGGCCAGTGATTAAAATTAAACATTTCCAACTCAGAGAATGTTTTCCTGAAACGTTTTTCCTGAAAAGTGACAAAAAATGTTTTTCAGGCATTACAGTGAATGATCCAGCGCATATCGCATACGATGCGCTCTCGCTTCGGCGTTTCGATTAACAACAAAACAGCGCTAATCGTCAAACAGCTGTTATACGATTTTAAGAGAAAAGCGTAGCACATCTGTACGTAACAGTACAAAGCTTCTGTCACAGCCGTTCGTTTCAACGACCGCGTGTTGAGAAATGTGCAATAGAGTGCATATTGTCAGTATAAATTTTCGGTCTGACACCAAACTTCCGCGACATCCGCCGAACGCGTCTCAAGAGAGGATTTGCGCTGGAGTTGGACGTTCACAAGATCACACAAAACAAGGCGAAAACAAATGCACACCTTACCAGATTTACAAGCTTTCAGCGACATCCTGGCAGCACAGAATATGCCGTGCAGCCACTTCAGTTTGGGCGTAGTGTAAGAACAGCCAGTCGACAACAGCTGTTATATCAAACTGCGTAACGCTGCAGCTGGTGCGACCCTGACGCTGATCTGAATCTTAACGGGCAACGGAATGCTGCAGAGCAGCGAGCGCAGTCCTGGGCCTCCTGAGAGGTCCAGAAGCAACCGGCATAAACATCGCGTCAATCTTTGAGAGAGAGAGAGAAACAACATTTTTGTGCATCCGGCGTGCGGGAAGTCCGCGCAGGGCGCGGGTATTCCCTATCTAAAAACTATAGCTAATAGTCCTATAGTCCCAGGCTCTAGATCTTGAGGATGTTGTGCTCTGGCTAGGCATTGGATACTCGGGCTCCTCCGCTCCCGTTGTCCGGGGCGTCGGTTCCCTTTCTCGTCTGCTTTGCCAGGGCCTCCTCAAGCCGCTGGATGGCCCTTCGTTGTGTGTTTAAGTCTTGGGAGCGTATCCATGCTCCCACCTCATCGGGATACGTGGCGTCCTGGCACTGCCCATTCCCATTGTTCACACCACTGTTACACCCGCCCCACATGATGTGGCGGAGGGTGGCTAGTTCACGTTCGCACGCGCTACACTTAGCGTCCACAAACATGTCGGGGCATACGTGCCGGGCCAATGCTGGCGTTAGCACGCATTCCGTTTGCAGTTGTCGGAGCTTCACTGCTTCCGCACGTGACAGTTCACGATGCGGGGGCGGTTAGGCTCTCCTGGCCTCTCTGTAGGCCGCCAGGATCCCTCCGTAGTCGGTGAGGGGATCGAGGTCTTCTCGTTCTTCACCGCTGGTTTCAGGGAGACGGGCTGCCGCGGTCCGGCACGTGATGAGATCACGGGCCACAGCGTCCGCCTCCTCGTTGCGGTTCTCGATGTCGGGAGCCAGGTGTCGTCCCATGTGGGCTGGAAACCATTTGAGGGCGATGGTTGGTCCTACAGCGGCGCCGCGAGCAGCCCGCGAGGCCGCGATGGACGTCACTAGCCGCTCCGTGCCCCGCCAGACCATGCCTCGGGCAAAATTCCTAATTGCCTGCTTTGAGTCGCTTAGCACCGTGCGCGTGCCCGGCCTACCTGTGGCCAGGGCTATCGCCGCCTCCTCTGCCTGGCCGGCTGTTCGGGCGCGCACGGTGCTTGCTGTTAGTAGTTTACCGGTAGTGGCGCTGACCACCACTGCTGCGAAGGCGTTGCGTCTTCCCGAATATCTTGCGGCATCCACGTAGACTGCGCCCTCGTCTCTCTGATGTTGACGGGCCAGCGCCACTGCTCTCGCCGCTCGCCTGCCCGCGTCCCTTTCTGGGTCCATGTTCTTTGGCAGCGGGTAGACAATGATTTTCCTCGCTGCCTCATCGCTCAGGGGGACTTGCTTTTCTAGCTCCCTGTCCGGTCCTGCGCCCGGGCGTTCTCCAGGAGGTAATAATCCTACCCGATCGAGTAATCCTCTGCCCGCGGCTGTGTCGCTCAGGCGGCTCAGCTGCGAAGCTCTCTGGGCCTCGCTGATCTCCGAGAGCGTGTTGTGTGTTCCCAGAGACAGCAAGGCCGTTGTCTTTGTGCCTGGTAGGAGCCCAAGAGCCCCCGCGTAAGCCTTCCGGATGGCAGCGTCGATCTTGGCTCGTTCCGCGCCGGTCCAGCGGTGAAAGGCCCCCGCATATGCCGCGTGGCTTATAACGAAAGCCTGCAGCAGATGCAGGAGCCCCCTCTCTTTCATGCCCCGGTAGCGGGACGACATTCGCTTGACCAGGCGCGCTGCGATGCCCATCTTGGTTGTGATGTTCTTGACCGCCGTGGCGTTGGTTTGGGTGCCGTCCACGAACATCCCCAGGACTCGAAGCCCCGGGACGTGCGGGATCTGCATACCGTCACTGGTGCGCACGATGATGTTCTCGGCCGCCTCTCGACTTGCCTTCTTTCTGTGCCTCCCAGGTGGTGGCAGGATGAGTAGCTGTGATTTTTGTGGCGAACACCGCAAGCCCGTGCCCAAGAGTGCGGACTCCACGGCGTCCACCGCCGCCTGCAGACCCGCCTCGATGTCTCCGTCGCTTCCACCCGTGGCCCAGATGGTTACGTCGTCGGCGTAGAGGCAGTGTCGTATCCCCGGGCCTAGCGCCTCCAGACGCCTGGCCACCTCGATCATGACAATGTTAAACAGGAACGGGGAGATGACCGAGCCTTGTGGGGTCCCGACACTGCCCAGCTCTCGTTCTTCGAGCTTCGTTCCTCCCACCTCCAGCCTGGCCGTGCGGCGAGAAAGGAAGGCTCTGATGTAGTTGTACGATCTTGCGCCCAGCCCCAGGCGGGACACCTGAGCCAGGACCGACGAGTGTCTAACGTTGTCGAAGGCGCTTTGCAGGTCCAGGCCCAAGATCGCTCGGTTGTCATTCTTTGGAGTCCCGCCCGGTGGGTCAAGGACTTCTCGTTGGATCAGGAGCATGGCGTCTTGAGTTCCCAATTTGGCCCGGAAGCCAAGCATTGAGTCCGGGTAGACATGGTGCGCTTCCATGTAACGGTTCCACCGGGTGTTAAGAACGTGCTCCAGTACCTTTCCCACGCAGGACGTGAGCGAGATGGGACGCAGGCCCTCTATACCCGGTGGCTTGTTTGGTTTTGGCAGCAGGATCGTCTTTGCTGTCTTCCAGGCCTTGGGCAGCTTGCCGTTACGCCAGCATTCGTTGTAGTAGCGTGTCAGTGATGTGATGGCTGAGTCACTCAGGTTGCGTAGAGCTTTGTTAGTAACTCTGTCGGGTCCGGCGGCCGAACGACAGTTCAGGTCCTGGGCCGCCTGCCTCACTTCCCATTCCTCTAGATCTCGGTCGAGGTGGAGGTTCGGCTGGCCGGCGTAGTCTGGGTGATCTTCGTGACTGGTGATGGGGAGGTAGCGCTCGTTGAGTCGCTTGAACATCTCCTCTTCGCCCAGTTGACGAGCGGTGGTGTGTAGAATTTGGGCCATGCGTGTACGTTGGTATTCACAGCTCTTGGTCTCATCCATCAGTTGCCTGAGGAGTTTCCAAGTGCCGCCACGGTGAAGCTGTCCATCAGCCTGGCTGCAGAGTGCAAACCACTGCTGTGAGCAGAGCTGCCTGCTGTGTCGCTCGATCTCTCGGCCGAGTTCTGCGATCTTCTTTCGTAGCTTTCTGTTGTGACGTTGCCGCCGCCAACGCTTTTGGAGCGAGCGCCTGGCTTCGAGGAGGTGGGCTAGTCTCGGGTCCATGGTTTCGATTTCCTCGGGTGCATCGATCTCTTCTGTGGCCCCTTCTGTTGCCGCCAGCAGCTTCGCTGACCACTCGTCGATATTGTCGACTTCGCCGAGTTCTGTGTTACGGAACTTGCTCCAGTCGACGAGTTTGTGCTTTATTGTTTTGTCACGGTTCGGGTTTCCGTTGAGATGAGCCAGCGGTAATTCAATTTCGATGATGAAGTGATCGCTGCCCAGGTTGATTCCCGTATTCCTCCACTTCGCGGTGCCACCTTCGGGCAGCATCGCAAAGGTGAGGTCTGGATTTGTATCCCGAGCAACCGATGTTCCGATCCTTGATGGTTGGGCTGGATTGATCAGTAACGTGAACTCGGCTTCGCCGGCATCTTCAAGAAGGTTCCTTCCCTTGGACGTGGTGGTCGTGTAGCCGAGCTCTCGATGTTGCGCGTTGAAATCACCGCATATTACCGCGGCAGCGTCTCCTCTTTTGGCCAGGTCTTTCTGTGCTTGTGATGTGGCGCTCTTGATCTTATGGAAAAGAGTTTTGAATTTCTGCTTTCCATGTCTTGGATTGCTATAGATGTTCGCGATGAAGACGGTGGTTGATGTCTTCTTCTTTCGTGCACCCCGGGTTCCTCGTCCTTTGCCGCTAATCGCTAGCTCGGTGACGCACAGCTCGATGGCGGTGTCCCTGCTGCCCAGGAACTGTTGGTGTTTCACGTGGGCGATGCCTTTCCGGATGAACGTGCACACGCCCTGCGCCGCACCCTTCCCGCATGTGCGAGCGGACGGGGGGCAGGCGTGTGTCCGATACCCTGGCAGCGTCGGCGTGTCTTCAGTGTGGGTTTCTTGGACCGCTATCACGTCCGGGCGAGCCGTCGGTGCCAGCGATCTCAAGTACTGTTGTAGGATTGCTTTTCGGCACCGGAACCCGTTGGCGTTCCAGTGCCAGATCTTGATCTTATTGTTGCTGTCCATTATGAGGGAGAGCCTTTTGTGTTTGGCAATATTGATGCGCCGCTTCACCAATTAGCGGCTGCAGCTTCTCGGGGCTCAGGGCCCTCTCTAGCGCTTGCTCGATTTGGAGCTGAATCATTTGCGCAAGTTGCTGTTGGATGACTTGGGTGCATTTCGTGAGGATTCTCTGCTCGATGCCCTCAAAGCTCTTGCCCCATTTCTTTATAGCTCTCGCGTTCCGACCGATCTTCTTACTGAAGCTCCCGTAGCCGAGGGGTTTGGTCCTGTCTCCGTTGTTTGTAGTTGCCACCGAGATGACCGAGGCACTATCATCTTCTTCCTCGTTGCTTTCGCTTTCTAGTTCCTCTTCGTGTTGTGCTTCCAACCCTCTTGCCACCGCAATCATGGATGCCCTTGTTGGGGTCTTCGCTTTGGCGGTGAATTGGTAGGTCTTAGGGGTTGTAGTGTTGACAAAGCGGTTGCCCGTGATGTTCGTTGGGGTTCCGTTGTCATCCTCATCGGCGTCTGTCGCCATCTTGTTGTTGGCTTCGTTCCTTGATCCCCCCTCTTGAAGCCTTCTAATGGCGTCTCGTTGTTCGTCGATGACGCCTCGTTGTTGTTTGATGGTGAGCTGCGTCGCCGCCATCGCCGTCTGGAGTTCCTCCATCGCCTTCTCCATTTTCTTAACGGTAGCTTTCAACTCCCGCGTCTCTTTCTTGCATTGTTCGCTGCAGCCGCCGCCGCTTGGCGTCTTGCCAGGCTCCTTCAGCGTTGCAGCTGCTGCTCTGCTCAGGGCCCCGCTCGTTTGCGTCATCGCCGCGCCATTGATGTCAGACTTGTTTGTCACGCTCAGGTGCGCTTGCACCTGCGGCGCCGGTCTTGGCGGACGCGTTTCTTTCGGTCTTCCGGAAGTGACGTCAGCCCACTTCACGTCCTCCGGTTCCGCTCTGCTCCTATCACGGCTTGCCACGCCGTTTTGTTCGTGACGTGTCCCGCTGG